ATTTAATAAGAATTTAATTCAGGGCAGGGCATTTAATAAAATTTAATTCAGGGCTGGGCATTTAATAAGAATTTCATTCAGGGCAGGGTCATTTAATTAAGATTTTAAGAAAATTTAATTCAGGGCAGGGCATTTAATAAGAATTTAATTCAGGGGCTGGGCATTTAATAACAGTTTAATTCAGGGCTGGGCATTCGGGCAGGGCATTTAATATCATTCAATTCAGGGCTGGGCATTTAAGAATTTAATTCAGGGTGGGGCATTTTAATAAGAATTTAATTCACGTCTGGGCATTTAATAGATTTTAATTCAGGGCTGGTCATTTAATTAAAGAATTTAATTCAGGGCTGGGCATTTAATAAAGAATTTAATTCAGGGCAGAATTTAATTCAGGCATTTAATAAGAATTTAATTCAGGGGCAGGGCAGGGCATTTAATAAGAATTTAATTCAGGGCTGGGCATTTAATAACAATTTAATTCAGGGCTGGGCATTTAATAGATTTTAATTCAGGGCAGGTCATTTAATAAAATTTAATTCAGGCAGGGCATTTAATAAGAATTTAATTCAGGGCAGGGCATTTAATAAGAATTTAATTCAGGGCAGGGCATTTAATAAGAATTTAATTCAGGGCAGGGCATTTAATAAGAATTTAATTCAGGGCTGGGCATTTAATAACAGTTTAATTCAGGGCAGGGCATTTAATAAGAATTTAATTCAGCGCTGGGCATTTAATAACAGTTTAATTCAGGGCAGGGCATTTAATAACAGTTTAATTCAGGGCAGGGCATTTAATAACAGTTTAATTCAGGGCAGGGCATTTAATAACAGTTTAATTCAGGGCAGGGCATTTAATAACATTTTAATTCAGGGCTGGGCATTTAATAACAGTTTAATTCAGGGCAGGGCATTTAATAACAGTTTAATTCAGGGCAGGGCATTTAATATCAGTTTAATTCAGGGCAGGGCATTTAATAAGAATTAAAGTAGCACTTTGATTCAGTTTCTTATTTTGTTTGCTATCATTTTAATTTTTATCTTTTTCTATTTGTTTTTTTTTTTTCATTTGTACATTTTAAGACTATTGAAACAATTTATTTTCAAAGGATACAAATTTTATTTTCTATACCATACCACTTCAGAATGTAGGCGATCATGTCTCTCCACAGATTCCTTCCTTTTATTATCTGTATATTATACATTCTTGAGTAAGATAGTGAAGTGGTTTCTTGTTGCCTTCTCCATTTCGCTTCTCATAAACTAGTTGCTTCTCATGATTAAAGCACCAGTTTACCCTTCTACTTAATATAACTGAGGGTGGGGGTGTTGAGACAAATTTATACCTTTTCTTAAATGAATTTATGTGAAAGTGAGTGCAACCGATGAGCCAGAATTTTGAACTCTGCTCACCAAGTCCAATGTTCATGTCAATATCTGTTAGATTGTTGAAACAATGTATTTTTAAAGATATGAAAAAATAAGTTAATAAAAAAAAATGCTGCTAACTTAAAGATTAAAAATAAAATTCAATTCAATAACTCTATAACTTCAAACATAATCTATTTTTTGAATTGAGTCTGTTTAATGTTATCCAATCTAAATTCGGATAAAGAAATTTTGCTTTCAAATAAAATAACAATGGGAAAATATAATGCATGGATTTTATTTTCTGCTTGGTTTCCCAAAAGAAATATCTAACATGTTTAGTCTGTGAACTTAATTCCTCTGTTCTCATCTGTACACGTCTGAAAGCAAGAATGGAAAACTTATGCTTTGGTGAATATCAAGGAAGATTTTGTGTCTAACTTTGCAAAATGACAAAGAATTGACTCAAATAAACACAATTTACAGTTAATTTCATCATTAAATTCTATTAAATCATGTAAAATATAGGGCTCAAAAGAATTTTACTTTGCAATTTGAAAACAAAATCTCAATGATACTTTTTAATAAGATAGAAAAACCATAATTGAGGCACTGATGTAGCAATATCCGTGTCAGAAATGGAAAAATCGGAAAGATGTTACTGAAATTGTTTCAACCAGTTATTGTTTTGATAAATATCAGCTAAGTGAAGTGAACCTCACAAGACTATGTCAAATGATCCTGATAAAGTAAGTCACTGAGTAAAGACAATACTTGATAAATTACTTTTTTAGGCAAAGGTGACAAGGCGAAGATCCATTTCACGATAAGACAATGGTCACTAGCGCTGAAAGCAGAGACCCACAGAAAGGAATCATAGACTGCTCACTGCAACACAAAAAAAAAGACACTCCTGTTAGACTGTTCACCCCTTCTCCTCCATTTCATCTCTACCTCACTCATCTGCAGCTAAAGCTTACAACTGAATAAAATTTGGTTACTGCTTACAGATTATGGTTTTATTTCATGGTTAATGATCTGGCTAAAGAGTTATTTTTAAGCCTCAAACAATTGATTGGAAAAAGATGCACCCTAAGAATGAACGTGATGTCTGGTCTGAACTATAACTCTACACTATTCTTCATGTGTAGTTTGGGCTAATTTCCTCATTCTATAATATGAAACAACACAAAACATGATAATGACACTTCTTAGAACTGAAAAAAAATACAGGATCATTCAAAAAGCCTTACACTTTTTTGGAAGACAGAAGACAGGAAGCCTGTTTGTCTATCAAGAATATTCATCATTCTTTGACTTCCCTGTGGTTAGTCAGAACTTGACAATCCCTTTCCACACTGTTCAGTCCTGCATAGCTGTCCCCAGGTCCCCAATTTGACTTTCCCCAGACACCATAGTTCCGGACTCATGTGTCTGGGAAAGTCAGATTTTCTAAGAAGAAACTGTGGCAGTAGTTGGCAAACTGTAACCATTTTTGTTTGGGCTTAAGAGAGATTGGTCTCATTTCTCTGTAAATTGTGTCCAGCGTTGCATGAGATCTCCAACTGATGTTCTGGATTTTTCTAAGTAGATTTGTATATGTTCCATCCAGTCATCTTTCAAGACGAACAAATAATGTCCAAGTTGAAAAATTTCTATAGTGGAAGGAGTTGCAACTTGTTATGAAAAGAGATTGAAAACTTTCAAAATAAATTATTTCAATTGATTCAATATGATTATTCTACTTTGTGGAAAACATGAGACCAAGAAGGCACAATGTGTTACTCTTCTGGAGGTTAGCATCAGCCATGCTGATGGAAGATAAAAATAGTTCTCTATGATTATTAATAGAGAGCAGTTTCATTTTGGAGGTCTTCAGATTTTTCAGATAATGAGCTATTGATTGATATTAAATTTTCAAAGATTGAACAGAAATCTAAAAAGAAAAAGTAAAAAGGTTATGTTCTTAAGTGAACATTAACAATGTCATCAACAGATTTTACAGAAATCAAATATGTCATAATTACAAAAAGGATGAAACTGGAATAATAAAGTTAAAACATAGATACATTTAATCTATTGATAAAATACATAATTATTATAAAAAATTTAAAACCCTGTTCTTTTATTATCTTTTCTGTTTCTTTCATTCTCTCTATCTGCCAGCTTGATTAGAATGAAATGATTAAGAAAACCTTATTATCAAAGATAATACCCCCAACCCCCTTTATAAGACTAATGCTGTTTATGAATTTATTTCTTAAATCAGAGATTCCTTCCCTGTAAATAATAAAGAAAATATGTCTTATGTAGGTTACACAACAACCACTCTTTCATGCAGGCTCACATGCCATTTATCTGAACAAAGTGCAATTAGGTCTTGCATTAACATGCATCACAAGAGTTATAATACCATTAGGCAGTTTCTAATTAATAATACTAAAATATTCCATAAATGCAACAGGAAAAAAATTATTAAATATTATTGAAGATATTTTCATAAAATAAAAATATAAAACCCTGTTCTTTTATTATAGTTTCTGTTTTTTTCACCCTCAGTATCCCCTTCCATCTTAGTTGCTTGAATGGGGAGAAATGATTAAAAAAACAGTAACCTCATTATCAAAAAATAATATCTCTCAACCCACAATACCCTTTATAAGACTAATATTGTTTATGAATTTATTTCTACAATTGTAAATTGCTTCTCTGTAAATAATAAAGAAAATATTTTTTTTATATAGGTTACCTAACCACAACTCTTTCATACAAGCTCACATGCCACTTATTGGAACATAGTGCAATTGGGCTTTACATTAACATGCATCACAAGAGCTATAATAATATTAGACCTTTCCTAATTAATAATACTAAAATAGTCTATAAATTTAATAGGAAAATGATTAAACATTATTGAAGCTATTTCCATAAAATAAAAAATAAAAATAATTATAGGCTCCAACCCCATATTCTTCAATACATATAAAAAATATTACACGTCATTACATATTACTGGTACACCTTATAGTGGATTTAACTTTCAATCAAAATATAATGACATTTTTTAAACAATATACTGCTTCAAATACATTTGATTTTCTTTCCATTTTCACACATTCCTGAAGATGATTCATTTCAAATGTCAACTATTTTTTTACATCTACAACAATCACACTCGTGAAAAGTTACTCACCTAACTTGCTGCATTGCCAAATCCCATGACAAAAAGGTTTCCTCATTGATATGCCAAAATACTTAAAATTAAGGAGGTTGAGTGAACATTTTGGCAAACCACTCCCCTATATTTATCCCTAAGCAGTAAATACAAAAAAAAAAGTTGTTATCTCAACTGTCAAGTTTGACAGAAGCCAGTCATATTTTCTGCCATTATTTTGTTACAGTTTTAGGCTTTTGAATCGAAGAAAAAGAGTATCAAAAATGAGAATTCTACTTTCCAATACAAACAAGCAATGATGGTCAATTCCTGATATTCTCAATTCCTGGAATCACTTGCCAGAATTTCTGGCAAACTCTGTGCAATATTTGATTGGACTGACTCTTGACAAATTCCTCTTAATCTGACAGTTCTTCCTGCTTTGAAGTGAAGATCACCCACTTTCATTGCAGACCTTTTTGATGTCTTGCAAATGGAATACTGCAATTCAAGTAAGAAATCTTTGCTTATCTTCTGTCATGGTGCCAAAAATAAGGCAAGGGAACCAATCAAAATGAAGCTAATTTTTTTTAAAAAACCTTTTCTTATATTATTTATTCAATGAATCACATACACACCTATCTATCTATCTATCTATCTATCTAAGTCTGTTCATATCTATTTCAGTCTGATCTTGTCTGTCTATCTATCTGTCTATTGCAGTCAGTTCACATCTATCTATCTATTTATATCTATTTATCTCTCTGTTCATGTCTCTCTATCCATATTTATTTATCTATCAGATCATATCTCTATATCTATATCGGACTGTTTATTTCTTTCTGTTTAACTCTGTTCATATCTATCTATCTATCTATCTCATTCTGTTCATCTCTCTCTCTCTCTCTCTCTCATTCTGTTCATCTCTCTCTCTCTCATTCTGTTCATCTCTCTCTCTCTCTATATATATATATATATATATATATATATATATATATATATATATATATATATATATATATATATATTATTAATCCAAAATGAGCTAGCTCAGACATTCATGAATCTATCATGTCATCCATCACAGTACCGCATGAAGATCGAAAGGTCAATAGGATGTCATCTTGTGTCTCTATATACTTGGTCAATGTCGGTGGCTGCAACAACCTTAATGAATCCCAGCTCTATGGATCCATCACAATCTTACGTGAATGCAGAATGTGCTTTGCAGGCCACTGCTGGTGAGCAAAATGAGAACTAGTGAGTGATCTTCTGCACTGGACACCTAGCCCTAATGCAAAATGAGTTTGTCACCCTGCAATCACCTATTAATATATATATATATATATATATATATATATATATATATATATATATATATATATATATAGGGTTAGGTAAATGAGTATACGTAACCATCATCTTAAAATAATTGTTGGACTTTGTCCATTTCATAATGTGTGACGTCATTTGTTTATATTTGGATATGCTTTGAGCAGATATCAATGTACATGAGAGAATCATGGAAGATTGTAGTTTAAAAGCAGTAAAATCGACCTTGATAACTGAACGATCCTCTGTGGCCCAATCGGTTAAAGGCACGTCAGGCTATGTGACAGTTCCGTATAGGATACAGGTTCAATTCCATTCAGAGGACAAATATTTTCTTTGAAAATTTCTCGGACATTCAGGCCAGTAAATGCTGTTTAATAATGTTTATTATAAACAGAGCATTTACTTAAATATTTGTATCTATAAAATGAATGTGTAAACATAAAAATGTCTTAAAATAACTATTTACATTGTTCAGACTATCATCCTCATCTTTATTGTCATATTTACAATGTTCCGTGCCATGCCTTTTCTGAATATCTCAGTTTCAGTTAATTAACTTTTGTAACACAGCCCTCCAAATTTTTTGTAACACAACTCTCCAAATTTTTGTTCACCTCTGCTGTAGCCAGGTATTGAACACATAACTCTTTGGGTCAAGTCACTGGATTACTTCAGCTTTTATCCACTTTGCCATGTGTCCTTGGAACTAGAACTATCTACCGTAGTGGGCTAAATAAGCTGTTCGGCTTGAAAATCCTATGTATATCAGTTGAAGAAAGCCAGAGCATACAACAGGTGAAATGTTGTGAATATGACAAAAAAGATGAGGACGACAGTCTAAACTATATAAATAGTGTAAATATACACTACAGTAAAAAAGTTTGAATCAATACCCAGAATTAACATGAGATGAACTTGACAGAAGAGTGAAAAAAAAAAGAAAGAAAAAGCACTCTTAAAGTTGTGTCCACTAAAATATCAAATACAATATTTATAAACTGTCGGAGTTAAATCTACCTTAATTGTTGAAATTGTTCACTAGGGGACGCTCTCCCTACACTATAAATACTGGGTGATTTATTGCCTCATTCTCTTTTTCATTTCTTCATTTTCAGCTAACACATTTACAATGTAAGCTCTCGCAGAAGATTGCGTCTTCCCATTTGTGGGAGACGCCATGAACATTATACACACATACACGTACGTACAAACATTCACCAAAATACAAACCCTTTACAGTCACACACAAACACAAATGTTAATGTCCATTTCCATTGTAAATTTTGTTTTTTAATACATTTACTTGTTGTATATATACATTGGTTTTGTTGGTTTTCTTTACATTTCTTTATGGTGGATTCAATCTCTGAGTCCGCCATGTTTTTGTAGTTGGACCTTCTAGCAGGAATAAACATACATGTTCTTAATTTAACAATACGTAAGCCTCCAGTCAGCTACAAGACCAATCATACTCAAGAAAACACTTACATCTTAAAACACACTAATAAAATCATAGAATACAAATCAGAAAGTCTCTTGTATTAGTCATCATGAATTAAGTATCGCCCAAATATTGTGCGGACGTAGTAGAAGACATGCCACGTGGCTTTTTAGGGCCAATTAGGAATAAATAAATAATTTAACACTGGAGCCACATTTGTTATGAAAAAGTGTATAAAACATTAAAAAAAACCCGGCCCCACACAGGATACACACAGCTGTCACCAAGCTCCACGCAACTCTCGCTTATGACCTTCATGACCTCATGCTAAAAGCGACAGCATTGACAAACTTCAGACTATGGCAACACTGCAAACAGTAAGAAACAATTTTTAACTATTTCTTGTATCCTCTTTACTATGAACCATGCACGCACGGTGTTGACTTTTTCGTACAAACACACACATAACAACATTTCATTGTTTCTCACATACGTACACAAAGACAATTTATATTTTATTTCAGAATTTATATTTTATTTCAAACAAAAAGACATTACTTTCCAATCTATCACCAACTGCTTGTATTCCTTTTATATTAAATTAAAGTTTATTTGTTGAAACTACATTGTCTTTTCTACTGAATTTTATTCTTTTAATGAAAATCGTGTGGTTATTATAGACGATATTCTATATTTTATTATTGCATTGAATCCCGACACTCCGAATTTTAACATTCAACAAAAATCCGAGTAGAAGGATTCCTATAGAGTCATTGAATGAAGAATAGAAGCAATTATGAAACTTATACTTCAAGAAAAATTTGCAACGAATGCCAAAAATTTGTGCTGCAGTAATAATCAAAACTAAATGAGGATATTTTGCCAAGAGCAAAATTTAATCATAAAATGCATTTTTTTCTTTTTGTCATAATTATTGCTAATAAAAACAAATCATGTCACACTTTTTTTTAACCATGTATAATAGATTTCTCTTATTTAAAGTACAAAACAACTACTTTTTGGACCAATTTAAAAAATTACCAGGGGTTGCCTCAAACTTTTGAACTGTAGTGTATATAGACTATTTTTCTCAAAAACAAAACTTGTATAAAAAGAGGATTGCTTCCTAAATACACAATTTTATATATATATATATATATATATATATATATATATATATATATATTTAAAAGAATCTTCATAACTATATATATATATATATATTTAAAAGAATCTTCATAACTATATATATATATTTAAAAGAATCTTCATAACTATATATATATATATTTAAAAAGAATCTTCATAACTATATATATATATATTTAAAAGAATCTTCATAACTATATATATATATATTTAAAGAATCTTCATAACTATATATATATATATATTTAAAAGAATCTTCATAACTATATATATATATATATTTAAAAGAATCTTCATAACTATATATATATATATATATATATATATATATATATCATGAAAACACTCCAACGAGTGCTCAGGATCGCCTCGTCAGTGATGTTATGACTTGGGGTCATGACAAGTTTCGGGTCTTGCAACATCATACGTGTTCGCCCAAGAGACCCTACCGAAACAATACTCTTCCGGTAGGCGATCCTAGAAGAGGAGGGGGGGAGCGGGCGAAGCACGCAACAAATGGACTCATTAAATAAATGCCATTGCTGATCTTGAAATTACAAGCGACCAATCATTAACGACCTACGTCACTTCCTCCTCAGCGACCAATCATTAACGACCTACGTCACTTCCTCCTCAGCGACCAATCATTAACGACTTATGTCACTTCCTCCTCAGCCAAGACGATACAAAAAAAGAATAGACAGCATGCTCGTCTTTTTCCATCTTAGGTTCACTACGCGAAAAGATCCACATTCTCAACGAACAGTTTGACATAACAGGTAAGTAATGGCAAGAAAAGTTTCCTTTTATATGAAGTGTTACTTTAACCAAAAGAAAAAAAAAACAAAATATCGAACGCATTCGTTGGTCATAGGAATTATGTTCAGAAACGTTTCTTGCTTTCTTTTCTCACCACCACCATTTCTTCTTTCCATACTCCTCCTCTCCCCACTCCCGACTAGGAAATAAAAAAAAAACAGTTAGGAACACCAAGACGGCGTTGTTGAAAAAGGTGGAGAAAAAAAAATAAAAGGACCCTCCTCCCAAACAGCGACTTTGGTCATCCCTCTACATTTCCCTTTTCCTTTCTTACCAGCTGCTCCTCAATGCCCACCAATCCTCGTCGTAGAGCTTCATGGAACAGATCTTTTAATCCATAGCCATTTTGAGGCTTTCTACAGCTTCTGAGAGAGCCCTGATGGCCTTTCTCTTTTTTACTCCCCTGACTCCAAGCCGACTTAGGGCACTGCATACAGATCTTCCTGCAAAACCACGGCATCCGACTTCAACCGGGAGACAGGTAGTCCGCTATTTGTTAGCTCTGCATCTCTCAACTAACTCCTGGTATTTCTCCAGCTTTCTTTCAAAGGCTTCTTCCAAATTCTTCTCCCAAGGTACCGTAAGTTCGAGTATTATGACTTGCCTGGAGATAGTCGACCAGACCAATAAATCCGTGCGCAGGCACGATTTCGTTATCTGTTTTGAGATATTCAACTGGTTCCCCAGGTCTACTCGTATATAAACAAAGGCCAGAGAATTCTTGGGAGCACTGCGTGCTGGTAAATCCATTCCTTAAAACGGCACGGAAGTCCTGACTTGTCCACCTTGGCAAGCCATAATTCCAGTTCGGAGATCGTCAATCGGATGGATAAAGTGTCCGTTAAGGAGCTGTTAAAAGTTTTACCCATCCTCTTCACGGATCTCTCTGTCAACGTCAGGATAGTAGTTCCCGATATTGAGAACCTGAAATTATCTGCTACTTTCCCCTTCTTTATAACTAACGATCTTGAATTTGCAGGCTTGAAACTCATTCCCGCCCAAGCAATAAGCTTTTCAAGTCTACGAAGGATCCACCTACTCCACGTGACCGAAGATGTTGTAATAGATCGTCCATGTGCGCTTTGAACGGTGGATGACGCACTCCTGTCTTCATCATAGGGCCTTGACACTCGACTTCGGCCGATTTGACCACCATATACATAGTGAGGGGAAATAGGGTATCTGAGATCGTACAGCC